AAAACAGTAGAAAAATTCTCTTTGAAAGAAAAGACAAAAGCTGGGTAATTTGAAATGTCAGGTTTTTATTTTGGTGTAGGTGTTCTTTGTCTCAGGAGCTTAGCTACTGCAGTGATTTAGGTTATATAAGCCAGCTATTGTTTGTTCTCTACTGACACTTTGCTGCTCCTTTAAATTGTCTTTTTTCATAGTAAGCTTTGCTCATCGTGTGGAAAAGATTGATCCAAACCAAGTGATGCTGTAAACTCAGAACTTGTTTTGTATTGCAGCTCCTTTGTACATTTTGACAAATCCTTCAAGTATAAAGGGGAAAAGTGACAAATATCAGTTATAAATCTTGTGATAAATAGGATTTGTCTTATCTGCTAATGAAAATTTTTAGTCTAATATGAAATTTATCTTGACATAATACCAATTTCATAAAACAGTGTATTGTCTGTGAGATAAGTATTCATTATTTTTTCTTTCAGTGTGAAAGCAAATGTTGAATATCACATGCATCTTACGGGGGCCATTAGTTATTGATAACTAAATTGCCTCTATTCTCTCCTTTTTTCTTACAAACACAAAAATCATTACAATATTTCTTCTATGAAACATTGCCAAAGGCAAGGCAGTTAGAATGCTACTTCAAGTGTCTGCTCATCCCACTGAAGGATGGGAGGAGAAAATCATAGGCAAACAGACACATTGGGCTAAAATTATTTCCAGCACGTGTCCGTGCAGCTGCTTTGAGTCTCTTCAAACTATTCTGGTAGGTGTGCAAAGTATGGCAAACTTTGGAGAGCCATATACAGCTGCAGAGCATTATAAGGAAGGTATGTCAACATGCAAGCCAGCTTTGAGCATTCCTGGAAGACAGACTTGGATTGAGTTAGCAGAGGAGAACGGAAAAAAAGCTGCTCGATTTCTGGATCTGTGCTAATGCTGTTTTAGCTGGGCTGTTTTAGGATGCTAGTGAGAGTAATAGTAATACAAGGTAAGAAGAGTGGAAGGTTTTTACAACCGTTTTAGTCAAGCTTGCTGGCTACCAAGACTAATAGGATCCTCCAGCTATTTTCACAGCTTTCATATGTGTTTAATAAAGCTGTTTTTTAAAACAGTTAATCATATATTATTTTTAACCGGCTGACTTTTTCTGTGTCTCACATAACATGTATTCAAGAGGCTGTTTAACGCAAGTACTGTGGTATTTGTTTATTAAAACATGTATTATTTAGAAGGCTGACAAGTAGCAGTGTGTATTACCTGAGAGACCAGAATTCCTCTTTGCAGGATATTCCAGTCTACCCGTTAAACAGGAAAGTGAGTGTTCTTAGCTTTAGCAAGAAGTACTTATAAAATAGATGAGTCTGGCTCCTAAGAAGCCATTACAATCTGGCATGAAGTTACATATTTATAAATATTTCTAGAATATAGGGTCATAATTATGCATGCTTAGACATATAATACCTTAAATGTCTTAATAAAAATCCCTTAAAAATGTCTTGGTGAGGAAGATAATTTTTGTCTAGCTTCTGTGTGAAAACCATAGTTAAACGATTTCAGTTACCTTTCAGGACCTGAAAGGCAAAATATGCAAGGCCTCCAGAACTACATAGAAAGGGTATGATGAGGTACAAATATTTGTGAAGCAATGAATTTATTTAGAATATGGCTGGATTTTCAGCTCATTTGGACATAAAGATTAGTTGAATTTCTTAGAGTGAGCTTTTTGTTTTTCCAGACACTTGCCTTTTTGTTATCTGTCCTCAGGACTTTCCCAGATATAAGGAAGATAACCCCCATAACATTATTCTGATTTTTTTTTTTTTTCCTTTTTATAAAGTTTGCCCAAAGCAGACATCTGAAGAAATGTCTTCCAATCGTGATTCAAGCCTTACTAATGCACCAGTGCAAAGCAAGCTAGTATCTTCCTTCCAGCAGCACACAAAGAAAGCACTTAAGCAGGTAAGCTTGTATTGACTGATAATCAATTGGCTTCCCTTTAGCACGTGTGTCAGTTTTATATGAATAAGATCTCAGCAGAATTTCAAGGTGTTTCTGAAGACTTTTTGTGCTTTGTTAGTCATGTATTGCTGTTTTTTTTTTCTTTTTTTTTTTTTTTTTTTTACCGATGGTACAGTCCTGCTGTTTATTGTGAGTTTGATGGGGTTTTAAGTGCTTTTCAAGTAAGTAGAATTGTTTCTATTATCAATCCCTGCTTTTCCTATAAGCATTTGTGTTGGAAATTTTATGTGAGGCTTAAAATTAAAAAAAAAAAATTCTGAAAGAAGTTCTGCAGATAGGTGAGAATCTGGGTATACTTGCTGCTCAGTTTTTCTTTATGGTCTGTTAAGTAATTTTTCTTTCATACTGTATTTGACACTACAGTGTATAAAAGTGGGGTAGTTTTTGTTTTTTGAATAACTTCTGATTTAGGTTGCATGATAAGTAGTAAAACTTGGCAAAAGTAGTGATTACTGAAAGTCAGATATTAACTGAAAGCACAGCAATGTGAAAGTTATTTTCCAACAGTGCTAAATTAGTTCAGCTTACGGCTGAGCAAATGAAGAAGAAAAACTAAAAAAATACTTTAATTCAAAAAACAATATCATCTCCTCTCAATTTTGAGTATCTAGGAATTGTTTTAGTCTTGTAAAGACTATAAAAAGTGAAATAGAATTTTTCTGAAGTGTTAGCATAATGAGATGATGTTGTTTTCATTTTTCTCATAACTGCTCTCTTAGTTATGGTTAACAGAAGTCTAGTATTTCATGGGGTAGTTTATTGCTGAGTTGTTGATTTAGGCTTAAGTTAAGCAAAGCCTGTCCACGTCTCCTCGAAACACTTAAGTATTTATGCTTAGTTTTTTCATGCGGTTTGACTGTAAATCCACTAAAATTAATAGACCTTTATCGTTCACATAAGGTTATCTTGTACTTAGAGGCTTTGAGAACTGGGAAGGGTTGTTAGATTGGCGTCTCATATCTGTTTGGTCAGGAAAATTGAGCAATGGACATAAAGCAGCTCACTAACTGTGTGGACAGTTGTGAAAAAGACACACTTTTTGGAAACTCATCTGTACAGATCTTTTGTGATACGTGAACTTTCTCAAAAGTGGAGGGAGTGGGCAAAGGGAAAGAAGGGGAAAAAGTGCAAAGCCACAGATGTTAGACTCTATGTAACTGTTTAAAGTCTACCATTTGTTACTTTACAGATGTATAGCATTGAGAATAATTTTTTAAAGGTCAAACTAGTCAGAATAGCTTAATTAATATAAAAAGTCATAACATCAATGGAAATCTTTGAAAACATTCCCTAAGGCAGTAGGGTTAGAGCAACATCAAAAATTAAGTAATCGATAAAAAGAAATTAATTTTAGTTAAGTTGATGGTAATTAGATCCTGTACTTCAGAGATCAGATTATTATTACAGCTATCAGTAAATTGTTTTCTCTGTACTGTGTTAGACAAACAGACATTTGTATTGTGGAATAGTAGAGGATTTCTGCTTTGTTTTCTCTAAAGTTTCAGGTGTTGGCTACTGCCATACACATGCTGCAGACTTGATTTATTTGATATTGTAGCAGAGATGAATAAACTGTAACAGTGATTTTATTTATAAAATTGCTGTTGGAAATGTATCGTTTCACTTCCCAATCTTTCTGTTGCTTTTATGGATACATAGTAGCTAAAATTTGTACAAAGAAGAACCTGTAGTACATTTGAATACCCAAGAAACTTTAGACAGTTACATGGAACGCTCTCCCAACTGACACTAACTTACTGGTTCCATGCTAAACAGGAGATGAGCCATCATCATGCTCTCAGCAAGTGCTTCTACTTTATAAACATATACATACTGTATATATGTCATAATGGTGTCTTCCCTAGCTATTGCTTTTTTTCTATTACTAAGCAGTCTTCACATCATGAAAACCTACAAGATAGTGTTTCAGTTTCCTACTCAATTTATTTAAAAACAGTGGATTCTTCACATTAACTTGATATTGTGAGTATTTGTTTTCTAATCCATTAAAATTAAAGTGAGAGACAAGTTGATAATGTGCAGTACTGCTTGAAGATCTGAGCTAGAATTAGAAGATTTTGTCCACTGTTTATCTACTTATTAACCACTCCAGTCATATGTAATTCTCTTCAAAATATTATACGCTGGATTTACATATCATTTGATTTTTAATGAATTCTAGAGTTATATTCCTGGGTTTAGATTGCAAAGAGCAATCGCACATTTCCTTGTAACAGCCTGCATTTTAGGATGTTTTCATGAATCAAATTAGTCACAACACGGCATTTCTTGAGCTACGCTAGGAGCTTGTAGCAAAGAGCATTTTTTGAGCCCTGGTTCTTGGTCTTAATTTCTCTCAGGTAGCAGTGGGTCTGGGGTACTTTGCAGGCACTAGGGAGCTTTGCAGTTGCAGTGGACTCTCACAAGGTCTCTGTCACAATTAAGACCTTACCTCCTCACCTTTCAAAAGGCTGGGCTGCCATTTTTGTTTGGAAACTTTCTAGTTTCACCTCCTTCCATAGTGACCTTGTTGGGAGAAGGGTTTGGAGTGTTTTACCACTGAGTGTGTTTCATACTTCTTTTTTGGTTTTGAGGGAGTTTGTTTTTCTTTGGTATAGTATCTGAGTGTAATGTCCAAGAAAATACTTCCCATTCATGATCATTTAGACAAGAGTCTATGGTGTAGAGCTGCCTTTTATGCTTGGCTTTCTGATGGCAGATTTAACAGATTTCTGTTTCCCTTTTGGTGTTGGAAGTGCTCTGGTATGTGTGCCCAGCTGTTGCTGATCTAGTACCTTTGAAAAGACAGTTTATAGCATGCTGTCACACACTGATTTCCTGTCAGTACTGATCAGTTCCATACTGATTTACCTCATTTTCACACTCAAGAGTTTTGGCATGCAGACCCATGTAAGGACCTCTTCCTGGGAAAGTACTGAACTACATCTGCATCTGCTAGCAGTGGTACATGGTCACACTACTGTGTGAATTATTCTTGCTCTGGACAAGGCTAACTCAAGTACGGACATCAAGTCATGGCATAGTATCTACCATGCTCCTCTCAGGTCCAGTTTCTGTTCCATTGACTTGAGGTGATACTTTTTTTGGAAATCTTCGCTGTGTACAGATTTGTCTGTATCTATCAAGATGTTCTTGGAACATTTCTCAGAAGAAACAATCATACCTGCAAACTGGCCTCACGTAGGTAACACTGAGCATGTGTGAATATCCAGGACACTGAGGTGGTATTAGTGTCTGTTGGACTCTGATAGCCAAGTGTAAGAGCATCTTGTCCATCAGTGTACCAGTTGTTTCCTGGGGCAGTAACCAAGAGAGGATAAAGAACTTGAAGATGCAATATAACGATATCTGGGATGATAGTAGACCTCCCAGACATGGAAGAAAATCCTGCCTCACTTTTGGCACTTTGGAATCAGCACCAAGAAGGGTACCCATAAATTTTCTGTTGGGAGAAGAGAAGGATACTCCATTCAGACTCAGGATCTGAATACAGATCAGGACATGTCTGAGACTGTGCTGGGCATCCAGATCTCTTTGTAGAGACAGAAACTCCAGAGACAGCAGCCAAGTGGGTTTGGGGAGAGAAGCTCAGGAAATAAGGGAATCTACACAAGGTATGTTACTGCCGTGGTTTGTTTTGTTTTCTTAACTTTGGGCTTTGTCTGCATGCTTGTGGCTGGGTTCATATATGTGCCACTATTTTATTCATAAAGTGGGTAGATGCATTTTTTATGGAGAAGGAAGGCACCCATCTATATGATTTGTTCTCATAGTAAAGTGGCAACTCCACACCCTTTTTTTCAGGCTGTCAGGCCCCAAGCAGTAAGAGAGCTATGGGGAAATTCCAGTTTGGCTTATGTGTTGATTCAGAATTAGACAGCTCCAAATAACATTTCAGGCTGACTTTTCTAGCAAAACTGTAATAATTATTAGAAACCAACCTAAAACCTGAAGCAACAAGAGACTAAATATCAGATCAGAGTGGTGAACAGTGTAATTTAGCCCTGATTTACCCAAATTCACAGGACTAGTTTATCAAGATTTCTTTCTTTGTTTTTTAAGGACACAGGTGTCCAAGTGCCTAGGTTGGCACTGAAGGTAGAAACCTTGATGCTGGTGTGGATTTGCTTTCCTGTCTTCAGCTCAGGCACACTGCTTATCTTGCTTTGAGAGAAGAACAAGAGCAAACTCACCAGTCTTGCTCCCTCCACACTCCTTCTGTTAGGACTTCTTTCCTTGACTACAGCCAGATGCAGGTTATCTTGAAGCATTTTGCTGTCTGTTGAAAGTAATCCAGTATGAGTCTGTCTGTGGTGTCTATCCTTTTTGACTCATCTGAGCTACTACTCACACACACGTTCTGATATAAGCCTGATATATTTGCCTGCCCTCCTTTCCATTCCTTTCCCCCAAAGAAACAGAGGTGGCAGAGGATATCATTATGATTATGTCGTTATTACTTAGAAGTTGAGCACAGGGTGTCTTCCTGAACGGCTCTGAAAATCCACTGTGAACCAAGAGCTATTTTTTGTACAGATTTCCTCAGTATAGAGAGTTTGCTGCAGTTTCTCAGTGTCTCTGTTAACCATTTTCTTATGCTTCATTTCAGATGCTACAAATTTACCAAGGCCACAGTTGGAGAATTCTGGCTCACTAGCTGAAGCATTTGATCAGATGTCTGGAAACATAAGTGATGATTCTTGACAAATTTTCCTGTCAACAAATGGAAAACAAGGAAAACATGTTGCTTTTTGACTTCTAGAGAGACATGGGAAGGGACAGTGGAATTTACAAAATGCATTCAGGAAAATGGAAGTTCGAAGATGATAAACTAAACTGATTTTCTGATTGCCAAGACAAGTCTAGGGAAGAGGACAGAGAAACTATGGCAGGGAGACTGCATAATGGGGAAAAGAAGCTGGAAGAGCAAGAGTTCCAGCAGGAGCTCTTCAGGGAGTACATGCATTGCCCGAAGGCAGGCTGCACGGTATGTCCCTCTAAAGGTCCCTATGCATGAGCAGCGTCTATCAGCTGCTCAACACAGTGCTTTGGTAAGACACAAGACAATGTTTATGAGACTTTCTTCTGGGTCCTCAGCCATTACCTGTGATGGAAAGAAAGGGACAGGAATCTGCACAATCCCTGTATTCTTTTTGTACCGCTTTTTAATAACTGGCTCCCAGTTGCTGGGCCATTCTGCTTGTTGGTTTTTCCTCTGGGGTTGGTTGCATAGCATGCTTTTTGCAGTGCTCCTGCATGCTTTCTGTTTTAATAAATGTATTTTCCAGAATTTCTTACTCTCAGAAATAACTAAGAAGAATTTTAAAGCAACTTTAGGACAGTACTGTTCTGAAGTGTAGTTGCCCCTCTACCTCACTGTGTCCCTCACTTAAAATATGTTCTGACATGAACATTACCTTTGGCTAAATCTACCACTGCTACATAGTGGAATCTCCTTCCCAACTATAGGTTGAAAGTGCTCTCTTTGTTCTGTTCTGTAGATGCAGTTGCTCATCCCAAGTCTCAGACAATCAAGCTGATGATAGTGGCCTAGTTCTAAGCATTGCACTTGTCTGATAATGTTTTTCTTTAAGTAAACTGGGGAACTATTTAGGCAGGATTGGTCATTGCTACTGTTTTAATGACAAGTATCATCACTGGAGATGAGAGTCCCAGTCAAGCTTTCCCGATGATGTTACATGATTTTTCCGTATAGTGGCAATGGCTGTCAAAGTGAGTATCTTCTTCTGGGCCATGTGAAAAGAACAGCTTTTGATTTGAATAATTTATGACATGAAATTATCCCCAGGTGAAAACGAATCAAGCTTTGATTTTGAAGTACATCCTAGAAATGGTTGGCCTTTTAAGGGAAAGACAGGAGTTGGAACATCTCGCAACTCTTCAGAGCTCTAGGAAGTTTCCTACAAAATTCTGACAGGCAGTTATCTACAAGTGCCATTGGGTAGGTCCCCAGAAGGCTGAGTGCTCAGGGTGGGTGGCCACGTAGCAGAACCCAGGCTGAAACAGGATGTCTGGCAGAAAGGCATTACACTGGAACTGCTTACATTGGTGCAATGTGAATTGGTGCACCTGTTTCCCCAACAGGTAAAATGACAAGATTTTTTATCTGGAGAATGGTAGTCTAACCCTGAAGCTGCCACTTTGGACCCTGTGCAGAGTATGTTTACGAATTTGACCTAATGGAGAATTGTTGATTACTGTTGTAAGATTTTGTATTGACATCGCTATCTTTATTCTGGTTTGGTTTTAAACTGCTTTACACAAATTGTTTCCTTACCTGTATGTGCTTTGTTGTGCCAAGAAACTGATTGCTGCATAAAGCACTTGCCATCTGATAGATATGATTGGTTTAATACTATATAAACAGTTTAAAACCCTATACTCTTCTCTCTGGAAAAAAGCGACACTGAGTTGATGCATGTGCCATCGTCATTCCCATTCGCATGCAAGTCAGAACAGACATTGAACACATCACGTGGCTTTTTGTCCTCTTGTTTTTGTGGTTGAGAAAGCAACAAAAATGTTTACTTTGCAGTCTATCATGATCTGCAGCAACTGTAGCCATGAATGCATTGTTGCAATTCTATAGAAGATAGTGCTGGCTTGCAGGTGTACAGACACACACATAAATGCACACATCTCTCTCTCTCTGTGCACCACAAATGTCCAAGCAGTTTAGATCAATGTTGGCTAATATACAGATAAATGTTCAGTTGTTAATGTATACTGTAGTTGTACAGAAAGACCCTGACCACTACTGGGACCTAAAGAACAAATAAACAGCACGAAATTACTTTTGTTCCAAATACACATATAAGTGTCACGGGGTAGGAGGGTGGCATGGGACAAGAACAGATGCTTATTCAAGAAGTTATTAGCAGAGTTTGAAAATAAAATGTAAGCCTCCAAACTTCTGGCCTGGTGTTCTATCACTGTTCTTCATCTCCAAATGATCGGTTGTGTACACCTGGCACCAGTACTGTTATGTTTAGTGTACAAGTCTAGTTGGAAGTAAATTAATTTCTTCTATGCTTGGGAAATGGCACTTTATACTTTGTAGCTGTTTCCATAAGGCATCTTTATTTTTGTTTTAATCTTACGTTTACATGCTTATAACTGAGTGCTTTTAATGTATGTTTAATATAAGAAGTAGTGGCATCCTGAAAATAATGATGTGTTTATTCTTCTTGATTTGTGGTGCTTACTGTTTTAACTGCTCCGTGTATCTGTGAAACAGCTTGCCGCTGAGAAATTCTAATTTATTAATAGAGACATGGGAATTAAAGGCTGTCTTAATTTTACTAAAAACACAAAGTGGAGAGAGAGTATAAAGACTTAATTTTTGGTGGTGTTATGAAAAAAACTATAAATCTGTTTCATCTTTGCAAATTTGGGATCCATGACCATGATGTAGAGTTACTATTTATTTTGTGCAGTAGAAATTTCTCAGTGTATCATAGCTTGTGTTTTTCACATGGCAGAACGGAAGAATTCCATAGTTTTACATTTCTGATCCAACAAAGGTTATGTTTTTTGATAGTTGACATTTATGGAACAAATAGAAATCTGGGACGATGTTGCTTAATGCAACCAAGTGTTACATATCTTTGTTGTTAATAACTTAATTTTTAACATTCTCAGCATGTCATGCATTTAAGCTCAAATGAAAGTGGTTTTCTGCATTAATGGTTTATCTGTATGCTGCATTTTTTCATTCTGAGTTGAAAAGATGTAGGAAAGGAAAATAATAAAAAAATATCCCTAGCAGCAGTAAAATCAAAGCATATAGCTTGACATTTTGATTCTGGTGCTCTTTTGGGGATGTATTTTTCCCCCCTCTCCAGTTACCTTTTAGTTTATATTGTTTCCTTTTGCTCCTACTTCGAAGACGACTTTATTAGTTTTTACTGAAGAGAGTCAACCATTTTGTCACATGGCTAAAGAAGTTTTTCCTGTGTTAAGTTCAACTAAATATTAAATGATTATTCTTAAGAATAGATAATGATATCCATGGAAACTCCAACATACTGTTACACTCCAGCAGGGTCATGAAAAAATGAAAAGAGAAGGACACTCACTCTTGTCACCTCTTTATAAAAAAACTGCTTGGAATTAGAACATCACTGTTAATTGCATGGTGTTTTTCTGTTGCCATCTATCTTCAGAGTTTGTGTTTTCTTAATACTCATCTTTTTATGTTGTTTTGAGTTCTTTGGATGAAAATGGATTGATAGGTTACTTAAAGATTTTGGCAATAAAAATAATTTCATTAAACACATTAATTATGCCAACCCCTGTATAATGACCGTGGCAGTGTTATTCAACAGATGGTCACAGGTTCATTTTTATGAATGGGAATATTGGGAATGCTCCATACTCATTATGTGCAAGAGATTCACAGATGTCCTTTGCAAATCTGCTTGTGAAAGGCTGGATGTAAGTATGGATTTTGGCGGTGATTTTAAGAGAGCTTTTAATGTTTAACTTGTATACCACATGAACTTTCATTTTCTTTCCTTTTTTATTTATGTGCTGCACAGATAGGATGGTAGTAATGTTTTACAGAACACTTCAACAGTGATAAGTTCTAGGAATTCAAACTTGCAGCTTTTTTAATTCAGGCATTTAGCACAAAGTGATTGAATACATTTGAAATGTAAGCATAGAGTCTCATTAAAGAAAAATGTACTTTATGTAAGCTATCATCTGTGCTATATGTGTTTCTCTCTTACTTTCCAAAGTAAAAATGACACCTTATCATTTGGCAGAATCATCAGCTCTTTCTTGCAGATCTGTAGCAAGCCCAGCTAGGAGGTTAAATATGGATCAGATGCAAAAGGCTGTGTTGGTAAAAGATGCCAATGTAGTTTGTGTTAGTTACTGTTTCTGTATCTACAGTGAGATCTGGAACCATTTTTCTTTGGAATAAGTTATAAAATTTCTTGTTTTCTTCAGTGCTAGTTACAAATTTGACTCATCTACTTTGTGTTTGTTCCCTTCACCAGAAGAGCCAAAACTAGAGATTTATTTGGTTGTGGTGACTAGGAAAGCACTAAATTAGCTTGGTGCGCTAAAAGCTCAATATAGCAAAGCATTTGGTGTATGTTTCACTTTGAGTAATCCCATTGACTTCCCAGCTAAGCAGAATTAATCTTGGATACAAGATTCTTGTCTTATCCTACAGTAGTCTTGTATCCTAAAATTAGTATCCCTCAGGCTAAGTGTAGAGTTATATATTCGTCCTCACTAGAGACTGCAAAGAGTGTCCTTGGTTTATACTTAACTCATTCTGGTGTTTGGCTTTATTAGTAACTGAGTGTCAGTCGGCAATTTCTCCTTCTGCTGGGTTGCTCCTAGGGTTGTCTTGAAAAACTTGTCTATCCAAAATTTCAGACCCTGCAGCCTTAAATTCAAAGAATTTAAGATGAAATTGTTGTGATTACCTGAGAGTAATAATGTCCCACTAAATAGGATGACTGAGCAAACTCTCAGCCATCTCTTTACCCTGCAAATCAAATGTTAGATTAATTACTTGATACTTTTGTACCTTCCTCCCCTGCCTCGTATCTTTCCTTTGCCAAATGAAAAGATAGAGAGGCACAGGGAAGATTACTCGTCTATTCTCTAGGCACAGTGTAGTTCATTGGCACTTTGTGTTAAAACGTTGACTTAGATTTTGATGTCCACATGGTTTTAGTTTTTCTTCCATTCTACAACCTGTCTTTCAGGTGTCCACGTGTGTGTAGCTTTATGGTCAGCTTGAGTCATCCCCTACAGACTGATTTCCAAACTTAACTATGGGCCCTGCGTGGTGATCGGTTCCTTGTGTTGTGAAACTGGAGGGAGGGACTTAACAGTGAAACAGTGAACGTTAGGGAAAAAGAAATCCTGAAAAGCCAATGTATGTCAAAGGGAAATGGTGTCTTGAATGTTTGTGCTTGGTCCACACATGCTGAGGTGCCTAGCCCGTAGCTCAGAAGTGGGCTATGACCCAAAGTAGATAGTTGTGGTAGCAACATTTGCCTGCTCCCAGCTGTGTTCCTCGCTCTTGTGGCTCGGAGTGTTTGTGGAGTGCAGGGATGAGCCATGCCATCTCACATTAGTGCTCTGTGAGCATGGGATGGCCTGTGCTTCTTGGAAGTGCCACATCAGTTGCATAAATGTGTGCTTAAGGTCCACAAGTGGCCTTCCTCTAACACAAAAGAAGGTAAGTGGTGTGCCTGACCAGGACTGGGTACCGCTGCCCTCGCTCCAGCAGCACTTGTATCACTAAGGTGTACAAACGCTGACAGCCTCTCATTGAAGGAGGATACACGGCTGCTTACTTTCTCTCATTCATGGGAGTTCAGTCTAAGTCATTGAAAATCAACTGTGAGGCTTTACAAAAAATCTACCTTTGTCACAGTGGCTGTATAAATCATTAAAATGGTATTTCCTTATGGATGCTGGCAACAAGGCTGTGGTCCCTGGTAGAGGTGGAAATTGCCTTGAAAGGTCAGATAGAGGCTGGAGGAGAACATGGGGCATCGTTTGGTCTTTTACTCATTTGTCTAGGAAGGATGACACTGAGGATGGATATTTCTTCTCTTTGCTCTTCCTCAGGCAAGTCAGGCTGTGGGGCACAACAGGACAAAGTTTGGGTTGTGGTTCTATTGGTATGCTCTTAGCACAGAAGTGTGCTGTCTTTTCAGTTAATTTTTAATGGACTCTCTGTTACTGTCTCAGTGCTATTACTATTGAATAAAGATCACCCGGTTTGACACTTAGCTTCACAGGACTGTGCACTGAGGGTCTTTTCTGGATTTTGGGGAATTTCTGAGAAATTGTTGACGGTTTGGAATTTTCTGTCCACAAGTCTGGCTGTGCTTGTTCAATACTAGTATGAATTTTTTGTCTCAAAAATGCATGAAGTATAGGATGTTCTTCATGACTTTCTGCTTGCTTCTTTGATTCAGTGCAGATCTGACCATCTTCCTCTCTTTGTTTGATTTCAAGTGTTCTAATTTGCTTTTTATTGCACAGTGCTTATGTGTCTTTTAAGAAGTGTACCATAAAAGGGGTTAATCGAAGAAATAGCTTATGTGTGGCTTGGTGTATTTTATGTTGTGTAGTGTGTTATTTAGGCGAATAGAGTGATATCGATTTCTTCTTTTTTTTTTTTTTTTTTTTTTTTTTCTTTTCCCCAGGTTGGTTTCTTTTTTTATTGAGCTATGTGAACATTTGGGAAAGATATTACTGATTAATTTAAGTTACAGACTTAGACTTTATAAGGCATCAGTCATTCATGCTCATAAACCTACAGGGATAATTCGTATCAAATATGTTCCTTGTTGATATAGTATTACTTTAATAAATCCCCCCAAGATCATAGCACAAATTACATTTATAAAAAGAGATGCACAGTAAGACTGGAGAAAAATAGATGGGAGGATAAGAGATCTGTATTAAGCCCAGCCTGTTCTGATTAATTCCAGAATTTTAATGCTTGCAAATGTATTAATTGGCAAGTATTAATATTTGTATGTTTAAAAATCTCTTGAATCAGATATCATTTTCTGTATAAAACAGTCTGACAGGTATTTGCTATTTCTAATCTTTAAATATTTTGTATTACATTATCAACCCTGTATTTGATCCATTTATGAAACACAAAGCACTCCCATTTGTAGAGATTTATTCTTGTATCATTTTTCCCCAGATTTGCCAGAACACCATCATGTTCGTGTTCTGAAGGTTAATGCCCAAAGTCAAGCAGACAGAAGCCAAGTGCTGCAAGGTTTCCAAGATTAGGACTGATTCCCTTCACAAAAATAAATGATTCCTGCCATGTTCAGTGATTTTGTGCAGCACTACTCACGGCTGAGCGAGTGCATCAATACTGTAGTCCTTACATGCTGTACATACTGATGACACTCTGTGTTAACTTGATTGACTGAGCAGTATACTGGAGAGGATGCACCTGCGAGAGATGTGCAGACATATATTTTTATTCTGGTTTTGAAACATTTCTTTTCCATTTTTTTTACTAGGAAGTCTTAGTTTCACATTCCATGGGTTATCATGTTGTGCTGTTAAGTAGAGCAAACAGTTACGTGCTTCTTTGTTGTCAAAACTGTATTGGAAAATGATCTAAGGTGCATCTTCTTTCTCTTTATAACCAAAAGCCTGATTTTATATTTTAAAGGAAAATGACATAAAGGGGACAAGGGTGAAGAAAGGCAAGTCAGTAGCTATGTAAATTATGCTTAGTTTAAGAGATTCAGTTTAATGGCAGAGAAATGTCTCATGTAATTCACTTATAAGCATTATTTTTTGTTACATTTTTATGTTTTATTATCGTTTTTATAGGCTTTAAGACAACAGCAGAAAAGAAGAAATGGAGTCTCAATGATGGTAAACAAGACTGTTCCTCGTGTTGTTTTGACACCATTAAAGGTGTCTGATGAGCAGTCGGATTCACCTTCAGGTAAATAGCTAATGGACCGTTTGCAAGACCAGCTCTAAACACAGAGCCTTCCTCTGAATCAGCTAAACTGATATTTCCACTTGGTGGCTTTGTTTAATGTCTTCATTTCCTAATCAAATCTGGTGTCTCAAAGATGGAGATTTTTCTTTATTAAAGAACTGAAGGCACACGGTAAAATGACAATTGTTATTAGAAGCAGCTTTAAAGGAATGCAAAGTAACATTTTGTTTGGCTCTGGAACTCTAATGGAGGACCACATGCTGGTATTCAGTGCCATAAAAAGGGGAGGAGGGGGAAAGGCAAGCTTCTCTGTAAATGTGGATTTGTGTTTTAATTCTGCGTTGCAATTCTCAGATCCTTTTGTTAGCTTTTCTTCTAGTACCATGCTTATCACTGCAGCGTAACCTTGACCTTTAGTTCTAGTGGTTAAGTTGCTTCATTTTAAGAGATTTCTCTGTCTATGTTTAACACAAATTGACAATTGTATTTCCACGCATATCTCTTCTACAAATGTTTCTTCGCAAAGAAATGATCTTTTTTTGCCTTTAGATTGCTTTACTGCCCCATAACTTGAGGTTAAAATATTTTTAAAGATATCTCTTTGGCACTAACTATAGGAAAATATTATTTTTATTAGATCAGTGAACATTTTTATGGACTGCAGTGTTCAGTTAGCTTTAGTTTTCAATGCTTAATTGATTTATTGAGCTTTTATTTCCATTTCCTCTGATGATGAGGAATCATATTGTGACCAGAAAGGTGTATTGCCTTTCAGCAAGTAGATGTCAATTCTTTTTAAAATCCTATTTTTGTTTTGTTTACAGTGTAGAGGGTGCTGGTGGCTGGGGGAGGGGGGTTGGGAGGGTGGGGTGAGTGTTGTTAGTACAAGTGCATCAATATCATTTTTGGGGGCTTTTATTTTTTCCTAAGGATCTGAATCTAAAAACGGTGAAGCAGATGGTTCTGATAAAGAGATGAAACATGGGCAAAAGTCTCCAACTGGAAAACAAACAAGCCAGCACTTAAAGAGGTTAAAAAAATCTGGTTTAGGTGAGTAGGAGTAAAATAGATATATTACTTGTTATTGTAATACTGTTATTTTTCTAAATTCTATGCTCTCTTTAAAAGTTTTATTTTTCAGGTTTATCTGTCTCTTTTTCAAACTCAGCAGCTGACCCTTTCTCAAGAAGGCATCTTTCTTTCTGGCTACCTGGAAAATCCATGGGCATTTTTGTTCCCCCCAGAATGCTTTTCTGTAGTTGCTTTTAAAAGTTTGACAGGCCTAAGCAACTGCAGGCAGAGAGGTCATTTAGCAATTAGCAGCATTATGATTTCTGGAGGGATGGGGATGAAGTATAGCAAATATTTTTTCTTCCTAGTAAATTTGCTTGCAGTCTGATATGCATTTATTCCAAAGATACATATTTGCTTACATACCTGACCTATTAGAAGTTAACTCTCCTTTCTTCATTTGCATTATTCCATGTCATATGGAGATTGGGCATATCATTTTTGGTTGACTCTCTTTCTTTGCTTGATTTGTTTCTTTAGTTGGATCCTTAATTATTTTCAAGTTACATCTCTTGAGGTGGTAGATACAGTTTCTGGTTGTATTGTCTGTGTTTTTTAGCAAGATTCATGGATGATGATCTGTAATTAATGAAGAATTTTCTCTGAAGAAATGGAAAGAGTAAATTCTCAGTAGCTCCATGTGATAGGCAGATTTTCCTGCTCTGCATGAAATATATTTGGAAATGTTCCCTAAGGAGCAGAAAATGTAGTGTTCACTAAGACTCTTGTCTTGGCTAAAGTAAAGTAGAATAATTACATAACTGTTTCTTTATCTTTACAAAGGACTTTTTGTATTCAGCAGATTGCTGAATCATTAGAGAAGTATTTTGCAATGTGGCCACATTGGAAAAGTTAGCAAACTAGCTTTTTGTAATGGCTGGATCATCTTAAAAATTATTAAATGCCTGTCTTTGTGGTGATAAGATGATTATTCTTTATTAATGATCCAGCCTAGTCCTATTTTTATGTATAACAATCCTGTAAAATAGCTTGAAGGTAATTTACTTCCTAAATATCATAGGTTGGTTGTTAAATATGCTATTGCCAGTTCCTGGCAAACCATCTCCTGCAAGCCTTATTGTATCACAGCCTCCCATTAAAGTGTACTTTGATTTCATATATGATCTTTCTGCATATTATTCATCAGTCTCAGGTGGATGTCTAGTTCTCTGTGTCGATCAAAATGCGTTATTCAAAACCAAAGATTCTCCTTCAGTATTACAACTTTTGCTATGCAAAGATACTTCCAATTTTAGATGATTTCCTGTAACTTTTCTCTACATTTAAGACTGAGATACATAATTTGATGTACACATTCCTCCCTGTCCCCTGATATTTCATCAGCTGTTGGCTGCTGATACCAAATGTAGAGTGAATTCATTAGATTTTTTGTGGATTTCAGAAAAAATCCTTGGGATGCCACACTTGGAATACGGGGAACTTTGTGTAAGGTTTAAGCATTTCTGTTCTTGTACCTGCTGAAATGTTTCTATTATGACATAATATTTCTTGGATTACTAATAGAACAGATGTTGAGCATCTTTAAGAATAGGTCCAGTTTCCTATGTAGTGCGCAATTCAGTTCCAGACATTGTTTGATTGTCTGAGACTCTGCTGATCTGCCCAACATTCACTGCATGTTGTGTTTGGTATACCTCCTGAGCTCCCATTAAATATGCCGACTTTTCGCCCTTTTAGTTAACTGATTCTAACAACTATGTGATTTCTATCCTTTTCCTATTTTGATTTTTATACTTTGATGTAAGATCATGGTGCTGTCATCCTTTTCATAGTTAATTCTGTAAGTTGGAGACTAATGTCTTCTTTTCCAAGTCTGTAAGCTTGAGTTTCTCATCTTCCAGGTTCTATTTCTGATGGGGCAGTGATCCCCTCAAACTCTGGTAGCAGCTATATAAGGATTCCAAATGTCTTTCCCTGTGGAAAACAATATAAAAAACATTGGCATGTGTTTTGCCATAAACTCCCTCAGAGTTATTAGCTATGCAGCAGTGCCATACTCTTGTCATATTCCACAGAACAGCTACTTTCCATGCTACTCCCAAATACTTCACTTAATCTGATTACAAACTTCAGACCTGAAGTAAAAGGCCTAAATTAGGCACCATTAGCCATTAGGAAAGGTGCAGGAGAGAGAATTTGTTGTTCTTCTGAACGGATTTTGTTTTTTTAAAGTATGGCTATGCTGGACATCCACTGTGAGCTACTGTCCTATCATCCCGGGAATAATATACCTATTTCTTCCACAAGTTGATAAAATCTCCATAGTAGCCTGTAAGTGGTAGCAGATCAAATAAACCAGAAAATGTGTGACCCAGGAACACAGAATTAGGTTTGACTTTCTGATACTACCTTAGGCTTTTCACACTATTAAAATATCTGCCACTGAAGGTTGTTACTGGCTTTGCAGTCATATATTTTGTTTTAGTTTGGATCATCTCTGTGTGTATGTCTTTCCATAGGATATGAAGCGTTAGCTGGTGAAAACGTTACTCCAATTTGGAGTCACTTAGAAGATGGGGATATGTATTCTATATTGATTAAAGAAAAGAGTATGCATACAGGCATTAAAATCAGATCTATCATACTACATGTGTTACGCTTGGGAATGGTGTTCTTTTTGCATTTATAGTTAGTGGGTGGAACAGATGGCGAGGATAGTTTATTGTGATGCATTCATGAAAATGAGCACTATTTCTATACAATTGTCCTTTATAACAGGGCATTCATTGGTTTGTAATGGAGTCTGCTGTACTGAAATACAGTATGTTGGAAATATGTGTTGGAAGAGGTTATCTTGTGCTGAGTGCAAAGTAATCTTTGTCTCATTCAGTTAGTATTGTCTGCTGAAGAGTAAAAGGAAATTGCTGAAATGTTTGTGGGAGGCTGTGGCTGAAGGGGAGCTTTTAGAATTTACAGATCTGCTGCATTTTATTTCATTTTTACATTTTGTAGGTGATGTTATAGCCTTTCGGGGAGACCACTATAGGCCTTCCAAGGAATCTAAAGCATGACTGCATTATTTTTATTAATGTTACTATTAAGTAGTTTGTAGCACTTGAGAACTTCCTAATAATCAGTATTCCCAAATTCCCACATTTGTGAAATATATTTATTCTTCTTAACATGTCATTTGTAATCCTTGCTGAGAGGTCTTATGTGAATGCCAAAGACCATCATTGCTCATAGCAGTGGATTATTCTTTTCAATTGTTTTTTTAGGGATTCTGCAGGAGTTTGTGTATGATTTAGTTAAGACCCCCTTTTATAGCATCTTTGAAATATTTGAAAGTACAACAGACCAAAATGTGGAGGAGTTCCCGGGCGGGGGTTAGAAGCTTTTGAGTTTTTCTGGCCACCCAGACTCCCCAGTTCTTCCATTTCTGTATTGAGTATCATAATATATTAAGACTGAGAGGAAAAAAGGATTGTAGCAGTATGTATATACTCTGAAGCAGGTAGCAGTAATTGCTCTTTAAGGAGCTTACAAAAAAAAAATCTTTTAAATATCCTAGAAACAGTAACAAAATGAGACCAGGTGGGACCTCCAGTGGTCATCTAATTCATCATCAGTCCTAGGGCAAAATCAGTTGTACACCTGTCATTCCTGACAGCTATTTGTCTAACATTTGTCTAAAGATTTCCACTGATGGAGGCTGTAATTCCTCCCTATGGATCTAATCCAGTGTCTCCTTGTCCTTGGTGGTTGAAAGCTCTCTTTTCTCAGTACCTTAATGGAAATATTTCTTACTGTGCAAGAGTTTAAGCTTGTTACCTTTGCTATCCACTGTGGACGGTAAGAAGACATTGTTCTTTACCCCTGTGAATCAGCCATTTATGTGCTTCCCCTTCCACCATCTGCTGAGTCTCTATCTTACCCATTCCCGGGTTTGTACTTTTCCTCACAGACCCTATTTTCTAAACCGCTGGTAATTCCTGCTGCTGCCTTCTCTGCGTTGATAATTTTCAATCGTAGGTTCTTATGAAAATTCTGAAAAATGCATGTTTTCAGACACTAATTTAACACATTAAATATTCTCATCTCTATGAGATATAGAGATATGATCATCTCTATGATCACTGTCTACTCACACAGTTTTTAGCAGGTGCTATGGGACAAGTTACATAGGTCATAGTGCACTGCAGATGCAGAGCATGGCAAAAGAGAGGTTCTCTGTAGTGATTGATTCACATCAGCCTCATCAAGCAGCCTTTTGCTTGGAAATAGATGCTTATAATTATGTTGATGACACGACAGGAAAATCTGCTGCTGCCGAGTTGAGTTGGTCTCTTGAGCTTGGAAGTAAGAATATGTCAGCTGTGATGTTGACTGGAACATGGACCCTGTAAGAGCTCAAGAGACAAATACAGGGAATATAAAAGAAGCTGTTAAGGCACCTAGAAAAGGCTGTGTTACCCTTCTCAGAGTACTGTTTCTCTGAAACTTACTGTATTATACAATAAAAGCTAAAAACTTAAAGAGAAGAATTGTTCTTACTCTCTTCCTTTATTTATGCTTAAAGTTATTTCTGTTTATTTACTCCAGGACATTTGAAATGGACCAAAGCTGAGGATATTGACATAGAAACACCAGGATCTATTCTAGTGAACACTAACCTGAGGGCTTTAATAAATAAACACACCTTTGCTTCTTTACCTCAGCATTTTCAACAATACCTCCTGCTTTTGCTTCCAGAAGTAGACAGGCAGGTAAGTAGCATCATGCAATATTTCTTTCTTTAATGAGACTTTTTTACAGTGTGTTTGCATAGGCTGATTTGATTGACTAGGAGTTGTTCCAGGAAAGAACAAGAAGAAAACTTCCATACTTTCTTAGGTAAAACTGCTAGATGTAGAATGACTGTAAAGTTTATCTAAGCGTCAACCATCTCCTGCTTCCTTTCTTCTGAAAACCTTGTATGTAGCTCCCTGATTAGTCTGAAGGGAAACTGGGCAGCAGATCATCCAAACTTGCCAGATCTCTTAGCTAGCTTTCTACCTATGGTGTTGAAGATAAACTTCTCATCTTCAAGGCTTTATTTACATTGAGTCTCTTTTCATCTGTGATCTTCCTGGGCACTCTGCCAGCAATGTCCAGGTCGGTATTAGTTCTGTTGGGTTCTTCTCCTCCTCACCTTTTACACATGTCTACGTATGCATCTGCTCAGGTCCAGCGCACTGAATCCATTCATTCACACCTTTTGTAAGGAAGTTCCTGTTCTGAGCTCACAGCTGGCAGTTCATATGGGTTGTTAATCAGTTCTGTTGAGAAGAATCATTTGGGGAGTAACAGGGCAGAAATAAAAGTTCAATTTCATGTTGTTTCTTACAATGTTTGGTCCTTCCTGCATCTGTTGGTCGGATTGCAGGCTTCTTAGAGCAAGAAAAAAGTATTTCCAGTGTGCCTGGCAGTTAAAATAGCAAAGAGAGCGGAAAACAATCTCCTTTATGCACTTGACTCACTTCTGGATTTAAACAGTCTAAATTTCAGTGGGGAATACTCACATACTTAATTCACACACATTAACTTACCCAAATAGGGCCTTATATTTTTTGCAGATGGCTAGTATCCCTCTTTTTATGTAACAACTAGAGAATGCAGGTCACTTAATGAGTCATTTAAAACCTGCATCTTAAATCAGTATGTTAAATGACATGGTTTCATTTCTTAAACTGTTTGTAGTTAGTGTCTACCACAGTAACACAGGGAAAAGCAGTGCAATATGAGACAAAAAGAGAAAGAAAAATTGTATTGATGTACATTTACTCAGCCTCTTATCAAATTAGACACTGTATGTTGTAGACTAAAATTATCCACTTTGATAATGGAGTATTTTAAAAAGAACATTAAACCAGAGCCATAAGAGAAACAATGTAAATGTATTTATTCTCAAACTCCCACAAGGCAATCAAAGTCAGTATTGACAAATTTTAAGAGACCCTTTTTCTCTGCTATAAAACAGATTTTAATTTAGTGCCCAGCAACTATTTTCCTGATAGTTTTGTTTATTTTTTTTCTCTTTCTAGTTATTTTACCAGAAGAGATATATAAAAAGAAATCTGCTAGGTAAAGCCATGTTTTCTCTCCAACTATCAGAGATTCCAGTGTTCATGAATTACATTTCAAGTACAGGGGCCCTACTCAGAAGTTTTCTTTAAAATCTATTTTTAAGATGGAGGCTCTAGAACTGACAAGCTATTTACCTTCTTATCAGGGTTTTACAGCACAGCTTTTGGCAAGAAAATCAAGAGAATATTTATTGAATTTTATCATGCCTCACTAGTTAAAAGCAGTGCATTTCTTTTTCATTTTTATTTCAGAAAGCGTTCACATAATGCATACATTGCAGATGTTACTTCAAAGGCCCAGTGCTACGTAATTAGATACTATTATTTCACAAGCAAACTGGTCACAAAAAAGCAATTGTCATGAGACGTTTACAGGTTTCCTTCTGTCTGTCATCTTCTCACAGCATTCCATGGGTTTGTGTAGCATACCATGTTTTAACATGCATTTGGAAGGCAAGAGTCTCCATTCATCTCTGGAAGATTAATGGAAATGTTTGTCTTCTCATGTGATAGTTTGAAGATTGTTTTCTGGTGGGAGTGAAATACCCCGAGTCCTCACATTGCAGAGGTCTTGACAGAGAAAGAATTGCATCCCTTCTCTCGATACCCAAGAAGATGTCCTTTGCTATGCCTGAAGAGTAGCATCCCAGATACGGACTGATGAAAGCAATTGAACCTGATCCTCTTTTCCTTCCTGTGTCAAGTAGAGAATGCCAGTGTAGTGCTCCAGGATCAAGTCTGAGGAGAGAGAATTCCAGCCAGGGAGCTCTGGTGGGAGTCACTGGTGTTGGTGACTCGGACTGGACAAGGCAAGGGAATCCAGTCTTTCTCTTTTGTTTCTACTGTCTAAATCAAGTGGGGCATCAGGCAAGCAAAAAGGGTGTAAAACTATTCTTTCAGTTAGCTGCCTATATCTGAGGGTTCAGTTTCATTGTTTTATATTGTCCTTTTCTTGTTTTGTTTGAGAATTGCTACTCCTGCTCTTCTGGCTCTGACGCTGCTCCGCAGTTAGCTGCTGCTGTCTTCCCCAGAGAAAGCTGCATTTCTGTGTTGTCATATGGATATAGTATGTGAAGTACTGTAATGAATGGCACTATAAAAACGTAATAGAGTTATGCTATTTGTGTATATATAGTGATCTGTGAAATAAATTACTAATGAAGTGCAGTCTCATTTGGGTTTTATTACTGCTCCACATACAAAAACCCTATGATGAATGATCCTTTGTCATTTCTGTCATAAACACCATTTTTCTGGGCGGTATAACTCCTCCTCCTTAAATCGTATTGAGCTGAAACTTGTCATGCATATGTCAGTTTGAATAAGCATTTTTAGAAACCATTAGTTAAGGGAGTTGAGGTTTTCTTTATTTTGCATGCAAGTGTTTATTATAAATAAATGATTTCTCTCTCAACCCTGGTTAGTCTAATATGTTTTTTAAAAGTTAAGGGCCAAGTCAGGAGCTTCTTGGGATGTGTTTTCTGATTTTTTTTTTTTTTTGAGTTTTGTGTTGCTATCAGGGAGTCATGAGAGCCCATGAACACAGGGCTTTAGGAAAGATATCCCAGAATGGAGTAAGTTGGGAACAACTCTGCTGATATTGGTGCTGTCATTTTTCCTACTCCAGCTAGATTTTCGATGAAGTGCAAGTGTAGGATCATTGCCTTTTTTTTCCTTAGGAAAAGATAAATTGTATCATCAATTATTCACGCTTGAAATTGATTTCAGCTTGTATATTAGTTTAAATTTTATTTTGGTAGCAGTGAGGCCTTGTGTAATTTCCGTATTCAAAATGCCTATAAAAGAAATCGGAGCAAGTTGGCAGTTATGTTAGATATGTTTTCAAGGATTTTATTGCTTTCATTTGGGTTCAGAGTGAAATAATATGTGGACATTGTTCAAAGAAGCAGCTATGACCCAGACTTGTCTTTTTAGCAGACTGCTACAAAATGTTGCACCACTGGATACTGAGAAACTCTTGTCTGCAATTTGAACATCCACATTTTTAGCTCTTTGTTAATCTATATGGACTCAAAGGCTCAGAAACCTTAAACTCATCCGATACAGAAACCTGTTGGGTGATCCCCAGGAGACCTAGATGACTGAGCTGGCAATAAAGAAAACATGTAGGATAGAAACTATATGGAAAGCAAAGTCTCTGCACAAAAGATTTCAGTTGTCTGAAATCCCAGCAAAGTATTTTTCTTTTCAGCTCTAATTAGAACATTCTACAGCTGAAGAACAGTGCAATTTTCATCACAGAAATACCTGTTTCTAATATTAAAACATCGAGCTGAAAATTACACATAATAGAAGCCTTCCTGACCACCCCACAGCAAATATTCATCTTCAAAGCACGACGTTTCTCTCTATATCTAGATTGCTGTACTGCATCAGTGCCTCTTTAAATATTAATTAAACAACGTATGTTGTGCAAGGATGAGTAACAGGTCTGTATGACAGGTTGCTGAAAAGGAATGGCAGCCGACAATATCTTGTCTACACCAGCTTTCCTTGTTGCTGCTACTGGGGAGTCAAATTCCTGCTATTAACAGTGGGGTCTGGGCAAAAGGAAGGGAAATACACCCATGTAGTAAACTTCCAAAAGAGAGAAGTGCTGTCTCATCTGAATAGTAACAGAAATCTTAAGTGATTTTGCACATCCTTAGAGAGCTAAACAAAATACTCTTTCCTAAATGCTCTGAAAAATGTGTCTTTCCAGTCTCTACCAATGCTTAACAACGTTCTGATCTTTGACAATTTAACTCCCTGTCCTGTATTTTCTCTTCTGATAATATTGGGTTCTTCTGAGCCTCTCATGGTTTGCACCTGCCCTGCCCTTTTTCATTGGATGGGAAATTCCTCCTGCAAAGACACCCATGAAGGATATCAAAGCCTCCGCAGACCTGTGTGCTAGGTTGCAGTGATTTTATCTGACCAAACCTATTCATGAAGAGCATTTAAATAGTAGAGGATATCCTAGTAAAAATCATGTCTTGTCTTAGCTTTACTTGCTTTATGAAAGAAATTTAGCAGTCTTTTTTTTCTGAGTCTATCTACAGTTTATAGATAGTTGAGTTACTTAAATTCTAAACTTAAAAATTCTTAAGGAAATTCTGAAGCCATGCAATATTGCAGAAGTGTCTGTGAATATTTCAGGTTTATAGTAAGCCAATGTACTAAAAAGACAAACATTACATACAAATAAAAAGATTCTGAAATGGGTCAAAACCCACCTTAATCTCTTTCTTTTATTTCTAAATCTGTGAATCCCAAAATGCTCGCTGTCTTTTGGTCAGTGCCAGTACTGTTGTTATGTAATAACATTACAGCATCCTGTCATCTTAAGGTCAGCACAGGTTCTGTGTTTCTGTCTTGGCCTACTCAATTTAGGCTGATGCTAGACTTCCAGGTTGATTATATCACCTTGCAAAGATTCCCTCTCACCTTGCATTGAAAAAAAGCACAGGTTGATGTCAGTGGTTTTCTCTGTTCTGTTTAAAATAGAAGTAATTTTGGGGACATACCTACAGAATTCCATTTCAAACCTCTATGCATTCATGTAGTATGAATCAGCTTAATATCTGTTCCTACCATTTGAGCAATAATAACAAAAGGTAACCATTGTTTTTGATGTGCAC